TACATACATACGTATATACATACATATATACATATATATATATATATTTATATATTAGAAAAATCCATAAAAATAGAGAGGATCAGGCAGCTCGGGGCCAGCAGCCTCACCTTTTCCTCCTGGATCCTCTCSTCGATCCTCTTGGACGCCGTCTCGTGGGCCCGGAATAGCGCAATGGTGCTGGTGTCATCGGGGTCCAGGATGTTCCCGTTGTCATCGCGGACAACCAGGTCCAGACCCAGGATCCTGCAGGGAAAAATCCCCAGGGAATGTGGGAGCAGAAAAATGGAATCACTGTGAAACCTTAGAATGATAACCAGGTCCAGACCCAGATCCTGGAGGGAAAAATTGCAAAATGTGGGAGCAGCAGGGATGGAATCACTGTGAAATCTTGGAATAACAACCAGATCCAGACCCAGGATCCTGGAGAGAAAAAACGACAAAATGTGGGAGCAGCAGAGTGGAATCACTGCACAACCTTGGAATGAAATTCCCACCAGGACATGGGAGAATTCCCATCAAGACACAGAATTCCTGCCAAGACACTAAATTCCCGCCAGGACATGGGAGAATTCCCGCCATGGAACAGGAAAATTCCCACCAGGACACAGAATTCCCGCTGAGATACTAAAATCCCGCCAGGACATGGGAGAATTCCCAAAAGGGAACAGGGAAATTCCCACCAAGACACCAAACTCCCGCCAAGACACTGAATTTCCATCAAGACACAGGAAAATTCCTGCCAGGACACAGAATTCCCACCAGGACACAGAAGAATTCCCACCAGGAAACAGGAGAATTCCCAAAAGGGAACAGGGAAATTCCTGCCAAGACACTCAATTCCCACCAGGACACAGAATTCCTGCCAAGACACCGAATTTCCACCAAGACACTGAATTCCTGCCAGGACATGGGAGAATTCCCAAAAGGGAACAGGAGAATTCCCACCAGGAAACAGGGAAATTCCTGCCTGGACATGGGAAAATTCCAACCAAGATACTGAACTCCCACCAAGACACTTAAATTTCCATCAAGACATGGGAAAATTCCCGCCAGGACACAGGGAAATTCCCGCCAAGACACCAAATTCCCACCAAGACACTGAATTTCCATCAAGATATTGAATTTCCCGCCAGGACATGGGAGAATTCCCACCAGAACACAGGGAAATTCCCGCCAAGACACAGAATTCCCGCCAGGACACCAAACAATTCCCGCCACAGATCCGCTGCAAACCCAGATCCCCCCGTTACCACGGGAACTCAAACCCTCTGACCCTTCCCAAGGACACAACCCCACCCCAATCCCCTTCAATCCCCACCCCGAGCTTTTCCCGGATTTTGGGGAATCCCAGGATTTGGGATTTGGGGCTCACCTGTTGCCATAGTCGATTTTGGCCGTGACTTTTTTCTTGAGCTCGGCCAGCTCGTCCTTGGGCAGGGTCCCCGAGAGGATTTGGGATCGCCACTCGATCAGGCTGTAGGTCAGCTGCTGCACGTGCCTGAACTGCGTGGTCTTGTTGTTCTGCAGCAGGGAAAAATAAAAAAAAAAAAAGGAAATTTTCCAGCAGGAAAACCTGGAAAATTCAGCTTGGGAATAAATTCAGCTGCAGAACCACTCGAGGGTTATTGAAACAAAAATCCCTGGAATTCGGAGCAGGAAATTCCCCAGCACCTGGCGCTGGCGGGGTTTGAGTGCTTTTAGGATCTTGAAGTGCCTTTAAGATTTTTAAGTGCCTTTAGATCTTTGAGTGCCGTTAGGATTTTTAAATGCCTTTAGGATTTCTAAATGCCTTTAGGATCCTGAAGTGCTTTTAGGATCTCAAAGTGCCTTTAGGATTTTTAAGTGCCTTTATGGGTTTCACCTCTCCCCGGGACGTTTTTTCAGAAAAACCTCACCTGCTAAAGACAGGGTTTTATTTCTGCCTTTAGGATCTCTAAGAGCTTTTAGGATTTTTAAGTGCCTTTAAGGGTTTCAGCTCTCCCTGCGACATTATTTCAGAAAAACCTCACCTGCCTAAAATAGGATTTTATTTCTGCCTTTAGGATTTTTAAGTGCCTTTAGATCTTTGAGTGCCTTTAGGATTTTTAAGTGCCTTTAAGATTTTTAAGTGCCTTTAGGATTTCGAAGTGCCTTTAGGATTTTCAAGTGCCTTTAGATCTTAGAGTGCCTTTAGGATTTTTAAGTGCCTTTGAGGGTTTCACCTCTCCCCAGGACATTATTTCAGAAGAACCTTACCTGCTAAAAATAGGATTTTATTTCATCCATTTCCCAGCACACCCAGACTGCTCTGACGGAGTTTTGGTTTTTTTTTATAAAAGGGACACAGAGATTTTGTTAAACGATCCCAGCTT